AAAACAAACGCATGCAATCACAATCATCGTGTGCACAAACGATGACGTCTAAGTCTTGAGGACAGTCAAAAATGAAATATCCACAGCCGTGTCAAAGCCAGAATACCCCTGGGCCTGGGCCTAGTTTTCTGGCCCGTGGGTCGGTCAGACCCGTCCCGATTTTTTGTGGGAGCCCGTAAGGCCCGATATGGGCCAGGCCGGGCCAAAATTACATCCCTAGTCGAGACGAATCTAAAAATCATATTTTTATTTGAAAATTGAAAAAGCTAAAATAAGCAAAAAAAGATTGTTTACTTTTACTTATTGGATAAATTACACATACACCTCCTAAGATTTAAGTTTAATACATATCACCCCTTGACGTTTAGGAAATTACACTAACCTCTTATCATTGTAATTATTTAGACGGAATGAAAATATTAAATTCATGCACTCTCTCTTTTCTTACTGTTTTACTTCCTTTTACTTTTTTTTTTTCCTTTCCTTTCCTTTGTTTTATTTTTTTTTTAAATGTAATTTTTCCTATTTTTTTATTAGGAATTGTTACCTTTTATATAAGTAGGGGGTTTATGAAATGAGACTTTTAACCACAGGGTGAAAATGTAATTTCCAGAACGTCATGGGGTGGGATGTAATTAGACCAAACCGTAGGGAGTGTCAGTGTAATTTACCTTTACTTATTTTTGTCTTTTTTGAATTTTTTTTTTTTTGAATTTTCTTAAAAAAATATAAATTTCCAGTTCGTCTTGTCAAGATGAATTTAGAAACCTAATTTTTTAAAAAAAAAAAATTCACTATAGACGAAGATAAACCAAAAAATAAGCAAATCTCAAAACAAAGCCTTGTGATGGTTTCAAATCACACTACAACAAAAGCATACTTTAGTGGCACTACACTAGTGGCATATTTTTAGAAAATGCCACAAAAAATGATATTTAGTGGCACGTTTTTGAAAAATGCCACAAAATGACAAACATAAAAGGCTCTAGTGACATTTTAATGAACAAGTGTCACAACACTACAACAAAAACATATTTTAGTGACACCATACTAGTGGCATGTTCTTAAAAAATGTCAAAAAAAGAATATTTGGTGGCATTTTTTAGAAAAATGTCATAGAGCCACAAACATGCAAGCCTCTAGTGGCATTTCAATTAAAAAAAGTGTCACTTCACTATAACAAATTTACGCTTTAGTAACACTACACTAGTAGCATGTTTTTAAAAAATGCCACAAAAATAAAAATTGGCATTAAATGTTTTAGAAAAATGCCATAGAACCACAAAACATATAAGGCTCTAGTGGCATTTCAATAAAGAAATGTCACATCAATTTTGTGACATTTTATAAAATAATGACATAAAAAATTATGTTCGTGACATTTACCAACAGATGCCACTAAACTTTAGTTGCAATGACATTTTTTAAAAAATGTCAGGACACTAAGTAGGTGCAAATTACTTTTTATGGCACTTAGGTGAAAAGTGTCATAAATAAATATTTTATAGCATTTTGAGAAATGCCACTAAGCCAAAAACTTTCCAAGCTTATAATAACACTTTTGAAAAAACAATTAGTAGCCAAAAGTATAGAATTGGCGACTAAAAAATATTTTTAGTCACCAAAAGTGGTCTTTTTTTTATTTTGGTAGTAAATAGTTTATTTTACATAAATTATGTTCAATAAAATAATTATGTTTATACATATACTTTTATATTAATATGGATGTATGTACTATATAAATAATATATGTTGCATATATAATCATGTGGTGCTATAGAGGTGTAGTGGGAAGAGTGTGGTGTATAAGGTTTATGGTGCGGAAGGGTGGCGGTGCGAGTCTCCGCAAGAGCGGATCAAATTGTTCTACAACGAATTATCATCATGAATGGCACTTGGTAGGTCACCCTTTGCGGTCAACCCTCCTCACAGTCGAACTTCCCACTCGGACACGCTTCATGGTCGACCCTCCTCGCAATCGGTCTTCCCCCTCGATCACCCTTCGTGGTCGGTCTTCCTCGCAGTCGGTCTTCCCACTCGGTCACCCTTCACGGTCGGCCCTCCTCGCAGTCGGTCTTGCGGTCCCGAACCGAGGCACACGGCCTGACGGCTCCGAAAACCGGGAACCGGACTCCGAAATGGGCAAAATGGCCTACGGCCACCAAATGTAGCCTTTGGACATTGAGAGATGGTCTACGGGACCTCTCCCTCCCCTCAGGAAAAGAAACAGAGAAAACCGAGTCTGGTTCGCAAACCGAGACAAGGCACAGAAGAGGGTTCGGAAGTCCGGAGGCAGGGCTCACGGCCGCGATTCTGGAACTTCTAAACGAGCACATTATGCAACATCACCAAGCGCTCAATTGGCGACGTCTGAGTCTTAAGGTCGGTCAAAAATGGGGTGTCTACACATAGGACCTGGGACTCCACCGAGCAAGCTAACTCTGGACAAGCCCAAGTTAGCTCGGCCCTCCTTCTGCCCGGCTTCTACCTCGGCCCAAAGACAAATTATGAATCTCCCTCTCAATGGTTGGTCGTGACGAAGTAAAACTTGATGAGGCAACTCTCTACCGGAGTTGACAGAGTAAAAAGGATGAACATTGATTATTTGATTGAGACATTTATTTTAGAAGTAACAAAGATCAGAATTTCAAGTCTACTAGTTTATGTCTCTCAAAGTGCTAAATTCCTAAAGGTGATCTCCTTTTGGATTATGTCTGCGTATTAACGTCGTTAAAAAAAAAAGAAGTATCAATAAATTTTAAAATATAATTTTGTGAATTGTTAGCCTTTTATTTTATTTTTTTTATGAATTCAAAGGTCCCATTAAAATAAAAATTACATAAAAAAAGTAGTCACTTATATGTTTGGGTTTAATTTTTAAAAATAAAAGTGGATTTCTCAAAATATAAAGTTAGACATTTGGATAATTCGCACTATAGAAGTTTTGAATTTTCTCTTATTCTAGAACAAATCCCACATTACAAACAAAAATGTAACACTCCAATAACATAACACTTCAATGTAACATACTAAAAAATTCATTGTTATATTTTTTTTCTAAACGTAATAACGTAACACTAAAAAAAAACTCATTAGTATACTTTTTTCAAACATAAATAAATAAATAAAAACTTCTTACTGTACTTTTTTCAAACGTAACACTCCAATCAATGTAATCACAAATGTAACACTCCAACGTAACATAAAAAAAACTAAAAAAACTCTTTCATGTACTTTTTTTTTCAAACGGAACATTCACAGTTTGAATTATACATTTGTCCAAAACTTATTAAGGAATATATGTACTAAAAATTCTCACATCCTTTTTTTTTAATAGTACATTGGAGTGTTACGTTTAGAAAAAGTATATTAAGAATTTTTTTGTGTGTTACATTAAAGTGTTACACTAAAGAGTTTTTTTTGAGTATTATGTTTTGAAGTGTTATGTTTAGGAAAAGTACACTAAGGGTCCGTTTGGGAAGAGCTTTTTCAGGTTTTTTTGGCTATTTTAGCCACAAAAGACAAAATAGGCTATTTTAGCCACAAAAACAAAACATCACATCCAACCCATAATCATTACACTTTTCTCTCACAAAAAAATCAAAAAGCCAAAAAGTCAAAAAAGTCAAAAAGCCTTTCCCAAATCAAGCTTTTTAGCCCAGGCTAAAATAGCCAAAAAAGCCAAAAAGCCAACCCATTTCCCAAACGGAGGCTAAGTAGTTTTTTTTTGTGTTACATTAGAGTGTTACACTAAATTTTTTTTGTATGTGTTACATTAGAGTGTTGCATTAAAAAGTTTTTTTAAAGTATTATATTATAGTATTACATTTGAAAAAAGTACACTAATAAATTTTTTTTTTGGTGTTACATTAGAGTGTTACATTAAGAAATTTTTTTTGGAGTATTATATTGAAGTGTTACATTTGAAAAAAATACAATAAAGAATTTTTTGTGTGTTATATTAGGGTGTTACATTAAATATATATATATATATATATATATATATTTTTAGTATTACATTGAAATATTACGTTTAAATGTTACATTGAAATATTACAGTTTGAAATTTACATTTGGCCAAAGTTTACTAAATAATTTTTGTACTCTTTTTGAAATGTTTGAAAAATCTCACATCCTTTTGAAATGTTTGAAAAACTTCATATTTTAAATCATTTTTATACTTCTTTTATAATATTTTTTAAATAAAAAAGATTTTCATATACAAATTCATCCCAAATTTGGTTTTCATATATTATGTACCTTACCTTTCTGGCACAAAAGAAAAAAAAGAGAATAAAACATAATAAAAATAAAGATAGAACCGTAAATTTAATTTTTAAATAATATATTAAATCTATCTTTCCAAAATTGATGAGACTAACTGGTTTATAAAAAAAAAAATTTAGGATTAAATGGATTACAATTTCTCAAAATAAAATTTATAAATAAATTTATCCAGAAATTTATATACAAAACAAACAAATTATATATATATACATATGCAATAAAAATGAAAAGTAAATGCCTTCCAATTAATGGTTTGGGATTAGGAAGAAATTGGATGTGCACTCTATTGCATGTGATTTTGCATACACATGTAGGCCGGGGTAAATTTGTAGACATTTAACAAACTTGAACCTGTCAGCCAGCAAACCAACCAATCAATTTTTATTTTCTAACCACTCATGTAGGGATAGACTATTTTAATTTAGAAAAACCCAAACACGTACTATTTTAACTTTAAAAAAAAAAAAAAAAAACAAAACAAAACAAAACAAAACAAAAAAACCCAAAAAGTCAATTATCACATCACTCTTTTATTTTTTATATATTTTTTCATAAAAAATAAAAAAAACCAACTAAAGTACCTAATATACAAACTAATCCAAAAAAAAACAAAAAAATAAAAAGTCCAAAGGCCAAAAAATACTAAAAAGTTAATCATACATGGTAGTCATTCACACTTTTCCATACAAACAAAGTCATTCCCAAACAACACATGAAAAGCAGTTATAGTAATATAAAGCAAACAACATCCAAGAAAGAAAATAACAAGACCTACTTTAAAAATCACTAAAAAATATTCAAAATCCCAAACAAGGCCTGTGCTGTGCACCTTGTACACAAGCATGTCCAACAACAATAGACAACTTGTATTTTGATTAGATTCATGTTTTCCCTGTCAAAAATAGGAGTATGACAAAATCACCATTCTGATAAAAATCAGAAAAAGCTCACATTCAACAACAATGGGAATACAAATTTAAATCAGAGTGAATACAAATATTCAACCACTCACTTCTCTTGAGGCTTTGCAATGTCACAAGGCCCATGAATCAGAATACATGAATTTGAGGTTCAATTGTCATCATTTGCTGATGCTTCTGCTGCTGCAATTTCACGTTCCAGATGTTGGCTAGCTTCTTCAAAAGACAAAAGTTCTTGCATGAGCGTCGAAAGCTTTGCTACGTTCTCTTCATGAACATGGGTAGGAACCTTCTCTTGGTAGCCAGAAGCATCCATCATCTTTGTTAGGTTGTCCCGTTGCCTGTAAAAATATATACAATCTCAATTATTCCAGCAAATGAATCGAGGCAATGAAAGGCTGCCTATCAAAGTGATATATGGTTTAATCAATCATTCAACCCCTAAAAACTACTTAATCGGTTTCTAGTGTCAGTCAACCAAAATTCACCATTAATAGACCGAATAGAGGGATGAGCTCTAGGTTTAAAGCCGGTCTCATACAATTTGAACCTGAGCCCAGTCAAAGGCTACGCATACATTTTGGCAGTGCATTATTGTGAGGTGGACATAGTGATGATGACAGAAAAAGCATTGGATGAGGAAGGATTCGGATATATTTCGAAAGATTAGATTTTATGAACTATTACAATATTAAGGTATTATTTAGGATTTTATTATAAGATTTAATAATTGTCTTGTTTTATTTTGGAAGCTTTTAAGTTTTTCTTGGATGCCTCCTATAAATAGGCTATTATGTAATAGGGGGGTCATGAAGCTTTCAATATTGAATTGAGAATACTGAGATTTGAGATTTAGGTTTATTTTTCTTTTCTTTGGGTATGGTTTGTTCTTTTCTTTTACATTATAGTTTTATTTTGGCCGTCCTTCATCACATAATACTAGACTTTTTAGAAGCTCAACAAGGGTGGGCCCTAGTGAGTTGAGAGATGGATGAGGTGACATGGAATAATTCAAAGAGGAGATTTAAGGAGATGTTAAATTATAGGGTAAATTATATTGACCTCCCTTGAGGTTTGAAAAAAATATAATAAGCCCACAGTTTTGACATAATTATGTTGGGCTCCAAAAAGGTTTTAATTCACATGATACTTAACCCCCTTTTCATCAATAATTCTTTTGTCATATAGATGGACAAATGATGTTGTCATCTCTTTTACACTAAAATGTATATTTTTCCTTTTTCATCTTTGTATCTTCACACTATGTTCATTAGCTCCAATCTCTTTAGCCTTCCCAAAAAGGAGGTTAGTAGAATTATGCTAAAACTGTGGGACTTTTACAATCCTTTAAGGGAGGTCAGTGTAATTTACCCTAAATTATAACTTGTTGAAGGTGCTCATGGGACATCTTTCCCTTGGACAGGCATTTTATCGACACAAGGCCCTTCCAAGGTAGGCCTTATTCGTGTGTTAATCACACATGGAAATTGATAATTTGTGTGATAATGTACTCCCAAAAGTTGTTAACATGTGCAAAGGAGCAGAACTGGTGGACCACTTCCTTATTCATTGTGGGTGGGTGGCTAGGTGTAGGTACATGGTTCCACTAGCCATGTGGCTTATCAACATCATTGTCATGATAGATCCCCGATGCCACATGACAGCACCATAGAATGACACCAGGGCCAATTAGGTACTGCCATGTGTCCAGCCCAAAGCCAGATCACTCAGGACAACCTCAGGAAATCACAGGCATGCCCATTCTCCAGCTGAGCATGCCCACCTCCTCATCACAACCAAACTCAGGCATCGCTCGATTTAATCAAGCGATTCTAAAATCGAGCAACCTACAGTTATAGATCTTTAAAGATTCAAAAAAGATAATTGGACAATCCAACGCTAACCTAGGGTCCAAACAAGGCTGAAGGACACCTTCAGGTGGCACCACGGTCATGCGTGAACCATGACACTCGTATACTAACCTTGGTGACTACAATTAGTGTTTTTCCAAGGTGGCTCATCCCAATAATCCCCAAGGGAGATGCACCTTGATCTATCTTAAGAGAGGATATCCACAAGAAGCTATCTTCAGACCATAATAACAGTGTGACCAAAGTCATACATCAGTTAGATGTCATAGCCTCTAAGTTGAATCTCAAGTACCTGATGCCACTGCCTAATGTGACCATTGCATATGACTGTTGGCCAAAACAGGGTGGCCACCTGTTGTCTGGTCCAATCTTGTATAGAGTGCTGAAGAGTTTTCAGTTGAGAAAAAACACTTACTTTTGTATATCTTCCATCCTTTTCCTGAGCTTTTCACGTTCTGCTTCTGCATTAAGAGTTCCTTGAAGCTTGAGATAAACAGAAAGAGATTCGTTTACAACAGACACGGCACATCCAACTGGAGCAGCATCAATCTCTCTCAGAAACTGGAAAAAGTTCATATTGAGGGTTAATAGGATTTTAACTACAGAAAAAGAAGAACAAACAGATACGCTGCTCTAATCTCCAATAAATTACAGCATGAAATAAAGCCATTATCACTGGTTAGTTAGGAAGGAAGAATTTAGCACGGCCCACCATAGAAATCCAGCGTGATCAACAAGCCAGCAACCATAACTTTACGCGTATATATATCCATTGCTAAAAATAAATGAACTGGTTCAGTGTTCCTCTAAATGTTGGGAACTTATGCAAGTGTAAGAAATTACATAATTCCAATTGAGGCATGTCTCTGACAGCCCCAACCCCACACCCTCCAAAAAAGGATAAGAAGGATGAATAGTTATGGAGATTCGAGAAGAGTGTATCCAGGAGTGTACATAAGCCAAACCAAGCTGAGTAACAGAATATTCGAGCCCGCTCAGCTTAATGAAAGCATTGATTGAGTTAATTTCAAATTTAGTTTTAAAAATTAAAAAAAAATTCCCACATTTGGGTTCAGCTCAGTAAGCAGGCAAAAGTTTTTGCAATGGCTACACTCGATTTGCTTTCTCTGAAAGATGTAATGGTGAACCAGACAATGAAGGCGATATTTTAAATAACAACAACAATGGCTACAGTATTTTCCTACATACTTTAGTTAGGAACTTTGAATTTCACATGAAGGACAACTTTCAAAACTTTACTATTATTATGACGTAACAAGAAAAGTAGAAAACATTAACCTGGCATGTCACACCAGAATCAGGTCTTGTTTAGAATGTGTCAATAAACTAAAAAATCCAGGGAAATTTGTTGGAATTGCAAATCACCTACATACATGGATCCTTTAAATTATAATTTTTATGATAACACCAGTAATTGGAAGCCACATCAAGCTGAGCACATAGATGATTGAGCTCCGCTTGTCCATATAATAAGCCTGAACTTTAGACTCAATCTCAACTCGGAAATACAACCAAGCTTAGCTCAGAGCGAGTTAAACTTGTTTTATACCATTAAAAAACATAAAACAACCCACATAACAACAAATCTATGAAAATACCTTTAGAGATGATGAAGTGGCAAGTGTAGAAATCTCATGTTCATGGCCTTTAATGATCTCCGCAACTGCATCGTTTCGGCAAAGTGCATATGCTTCTCGCCTGAAAATAGATTTGACATTTTCAAACTATTATTACAATATTCTAAAACAAATTCGGAAAAATTCAAATCAAATTCTAACCAGCACTATAAATATAAACAATAATAATGAGCATTCTCATCAATGTCCCTTCACAGAATGTTCCATGACCAAAATTCTATATTTAATATAGCACATGTCCCATTACCAAGTATTAACCAGTCTTCATGTTTCCTCATAGAATTCCCTTTATGAAAAGGCAATTACAAATTATTTCCAAAGTATTTGTTGGTAACAATTCAAAAAATCTCACTCCTACGTAGGGATGGCAATTTGAAACCAACCAGACGGGGATCCCCGATCCCGACCCCGATTTGAGCAGTTTTTCCTCGAAAAATACCCCCGACGGAGAGAAGACGGTATTTGAAAATCAATCCCCGATTTGTTTCGGGCCGGGGACGGTGATCAGTGTTCAAGCCCCGGCCCGACCTCGGCCCCCTCCCCGCCCTCATCCCTGAATTTCCCCGAAATAAAATTACTTTTATACCCCTTATATATATATAATAAACCAAGCCCTAAACCCGTGACTCACTGGTTTCACTCTTACTATATTTATATATCTTAGAGTCTAACTCTCTCTCTGACTCTCATCTCTCAACTCAATCTGTCTCACTCTCTCGTTCTTCTCTCTCTCTCTCAACTCTCACTCTCGCAGTCACTCTCTTTCAGCTCACTCTCGCAGTCACCAACGGCAACATCACCACCACCGCTGGCCCCAACCCTTCGTCTCTCTCTATTCCTCATGGCCACCAGCCGCCGCCAATGGTTTGTCTCTCTGTCACCACCACCGAACCCACCGGCGTCGCTTAGATCTGTTATCTCTCTCGCTCTGTGTGTGTGTGTGTAATCTGATTTGATCTGTGTGTGATCTGATCTGTGTGTGTGTCTGTGTGTGATCTGATCTGTGTGTGGTGTACTCACACTTGATTATTTTATTTTTTTTTAAATTTAAATCTGTATTTAACATAGTGATATATATTGATTTATTGTTCTTGTGTTGAAGCTCGGGGATTTTTTGGGGTCGGGGAAACCCGATCCCCGTTAGGGGACGGGGAAGGGGGGGTGATGGGTTCCCCGCCGGGGATCGGTGTGTGTGATCTGATCTGTGTGTGGTGTACTCACACTTGATTATTATTTTTTTTTTTTAAATTTAAATCTGTATTTAACATAGTGATATATATTGATTTATTGTTCTTGTGTTGAAGCTCGGGGATTTTTTGGGGTCGGGGAAACCCGATCCCCGTTAGGGGACGGGGAAGGGGGGGTGATGGGTTCCCCGCCGGGGATCGGGGCCGAGGACGGGGATTTTTTAGCCTTCGAGGATCGGGGACGGGGAGTGTAGTCCCCGGCCCGGCCCGGCCCGGCCCGGCCCCGCCCTGTTGCCATCTATACTCCTACGTAACGATTTATTTTCTTATTCACTATTTAAACATTGTCATTACAATCCAAGGAAATGAATTTTGGCTTCCACAGAAGTATAATCAGAAATGGAACTGTATACATAGCAAATGGGTATTTCATAAAATAAACATTAGAATATTTCCCTGGCCTAAAATATGGGGAATAAAAAAAGAATAAACAACCAAAGCTTAGATGCTTTTCACGAGTGAAAAAAATAAATAAATAAAAATCCAAAAATAAAAATTCTATTACAATAAAATGAAAAACAAAAAAACATATAATTTAAACATTTACCTTTCATGCCTTTCTTTTGCAGGCATCAACGCCCTGAGTGACCTGAGTGATTTCACGGCTGACTCAACCATATCCATCTCATACTCTACTTTCTCATTTGTCCAGCACTGCAAACAATAGAACAAAGGTTGAGGAGTAGCATTAATTGATGTTACTTTCCAGTATTAAGACAGCTTATTACCATTACAAATGATAAACAACCAAAACAAACAGCAATAGAACCCATCATCCAATTTCCTTTTTACGCCTAAACAAGAAAGAAGAAGATGCAAATTAACTTATTGCCTGAAAATTATCATTATTTTCCAAATCACTTTTTTATCCCAAAAAAGATCCTTTTTTTTTTTTCAAATCATCATGACCACTCTTCTAAGAAGAAAAGTTTATTGCGAAGAAAAGTTTATTGCCTAGAAATAAACAGTACATAATCCTAGCAAATTTGACAACTTTCAGCCAAATATAGAGTTACCCAACATGGAAGTCAAGGAGCTGCTCAGTGAGTCTCTTCTGTAAGATATACAACATCAAAAACACACACAAGCCTACATTAAGGCCAAGTTTGTGGACTTTAAAAAAAGCCAAAAAGTTACTCAAAAAGTTAAAAAGTTAACACTATTCACCAAAAGTCAACAATTACGGCTGTACAACTCCCAATTCAAATTTTTCCCTGCAAATTAATTTTTACAATTTTTTATTACACATTTTTCAATAAAAAGTCAAAAAGTTAACCCAAGCATCCATATTTTCCCAAACATCCATATTTTCAACCTCAATTTTTTAGTCCAAAAAGACAAAAAGTGCACTTTTTTAGTCTTCCCAAACTTGGCCTAAATTAAGTCAAACCATGCTAAAAACATTTTCTATGCCAAAAATTGTCACCTATTTTGCTGACTTCTAAAAATAATTCTTACAACTGGTAGAGCAATTAACAAATTTCTATCTCAAGTAACATAGTAGCTATCAATCATGATACTGGCTGGCACCACAGATAAATATCAGCCAACATGCCATGATACCCCCAATAGATAACCTAAAAAGAAACTCCAAAATTTCACCCAAAATATGCAGGGTATCAATAATACGGACACATATCACAGTTTACAATACATAATATCATCAAATAGTTCACGCATCACTGCACTGATACCTAATAATCGGCGAAAATTCTTCCTTTAGGTATCAAAAAAAAATATATCATTAATTCATTCCAGCGACTACATAATATTTCATAGTGTAAGAGGATCAAGCTGAAGATGTAATTCTAATTACTATCAAACAGATATGTTGATTGTTGACCTAAATATTCAGTTATTTTTAAGGTTGCGAGTAGCTATTAATAATTTGTACATCGCCAATTATGCTGTCTAGTTATATATATCAATTGTCAATTGGGTAATACATATTGACATCATGAACAAGCCCAATATCATCCAATCCTTGAGATAACTTGTCTGATGAATTTACTTTTTCCTTAAAGTAGTCCATCTCAACAGTCAAATCCTCAACAGAGCTATATATCTGTCCACTATTGATCAATATTTATCCTATATTTGGCAGAAGAGAAAGAGAAGGGAACAAGTACACCCAGTTTATTCTCATTAGAAAGAGAAGGGAAAATAAAAGAGAGACAGAGAAGGAAATAAGGGGAAATTAAATTAGTGCATTTTTCCTGTTTGGTTAGAAAGAAAGTAGAGAAAACAGTTCAGGGGAAAACTATCTAATCTTATTATACCTTGTGCTTAATTTGTCATATCTGATCTTATTTGTCATATGTACTGAGGAAAAAAATTGTAGGAAGGAAAATTTTAAAACTTGTCTTCCCTAATTCTCCTTTTATCTGCTCCAAAGCCAAGCAAGTAAGAAAATAAGAGACATTAAAAACTTTTCTCTTCTCTTCCTTAACAAAATCCCACCTCTACTACTGATGGATACTCGCTAATCATAATTGATCCTTTCCTTGTACAATCCTTTGGTGAAGGAAGGCGCTGCCACAATTCTTCAGTGACATAAGGCATGAATGGATGAAGTAACCGTAGCCCATTATCCAGACACACCCACAAGGTGTCTTGTGCATAACTCCTTTCAGAAGCAAATGCTTCAGCATCACTGGCAAAGTAAGGCTTGACGGCTTCAATAAACACATCACACAACTGGAACTGCCACCATGAATATACTGCAGTAGCAGCATCAGAAAATTCATACGAGTCCAGAGATGTCACAGCTTTTGATATGGCCTTGTTCAACACGGAGAGAATCCACTGGCAGTTAAATGGCATGATATCTGGAACCACATTTGTTGGAGGGGTGTAATTATCTCCTAGTTTGCTCATGGCAAATCGCACAGCATTCCAAAGTTTATTACACCATTGGCGATACCCAACAACCCTTTGGATGTCCAGATTTATTTTATCAGACTACAAAGAAAGAGGAAAGAAGTCATTAAATTAACCAAAGAAAGAGGAAATAAGTCACTAAATTAACCAAAGAAAGAAAAGTAAAATCTGAGAAAAATAAGCATTAAAAAAGGTATGCACCTGTGCTGTGTAAGAAACAAGGGCAAAACGAAGAGCATCAGCACCACATTCAGAAATACCATCAGGAAAGTCCTTCTTTTGTCCCTCTTTCGCAACTTCCAATTCCAATGGATCTAAGTTACCCTCCTCTAGCCTCTTCTGAAGACCTTCGAGGGTTATTCCATTTATTACTTCAAGAGGATCAATAACATTTCCCAAAGACTTGGACATCTTCCGTCCATGTGCATCACGGATCATGGGATGCAAATAAACCTGTAGACAGTTCAAAATGCATCTGTGAATAGTGAGAATCACTTACCCCATCTTTCTCTTTGCACCTTGATTTTAAAAACTTTTGCATTTGCTTTTTTCTTAAAGACATTTTCCACTTCATACAATTAAATTTATAATTAAAATTGGAGGACAGAACTGAGGTGTCAGAATGGGTGATTTAGCTGGTTAATGGCCTTAGCAAATTTCTCAGGATTCCTTCCAAAGGGTTTGAGAAGGGTGCCATGAAACTATAGCAGCTATTAAAGTAAAGAGGAGGCCAAAAATGGATGAATATTATGCTGGTAGGAGGTTTTTTTTCATTTTTTTTGAAACAGTACTTAAGAGAACGCCCAGTTTAATCCCCATTGAATGCGGTCTGGCAAGGGTAGATTGGGTATGGACCTAACATTTGGCGTAATTTGCACAAAGCGGCTGCCCTCATGTTCGAACCCACAACATCAAGGTTAGTGACAAGGTTCAACAGTATTTATCCAAAAAAATTATAATTGGTCTTTATTGTGTATGCTGTTCCTAACTTCCAGTTTTATTTTCCTGGTAGAGTAAAAATATGCATGCCCACTCACATCAAATCAAAACAATATCAAACATTAGCAGTTATAACCTAGTTACGACAGTGGAAGCTACGTCATGATTTAATCCAGTACTCCAAAGATAATGAAGTCAGATGTGACACCATATAGCATCTAATAGCCTACCTAACATGGTTCCACATACTTAAAAGGATTAAATTCACTCACCTTTGTGAAAGGTACATCACCTCCCAGCTTAATTCCTAACATCACCATACGGGCAACCCAGAAGAAGAGAATGTCATGCCCAGTTTCAAGAACTGAAGTTGGATAAAATGCCTTCAAATCATTTGTATCATCTGGCCAACCTAATACAGATAACGGAAAAAGACCAGAAGAAAACCAGGTGTCCAGGACATCAGGATCTTGAGACATCTGAAGTTTCTTCCCAGGAAATATTCGGTTAGCCTCTGTTTGAGCCTCTTCCTCATTTCTAGCAACCACCCAGTGATCATTGTATGCACCAAGTTCTTTCAATTCATCACCCTCAAGAGTCACATACCATGCAGGAATACGGTGACCCCACCAAAGCTGCCTTGAGATACACCAATCACGAATGTTCTCAAGCCATCTGTGATGTTAAAAATGCATATTTATTATTTAATACTATATAAATGAATATTATCATAGAGTTATAATGCTGAGAGATGTACACTCCAGAAGCCTCAAAGGGCACGCGCATGAAGAAATATACATTTAGTGTCAAAAGCACAAACTTAAAATTTTCCAAATTTGGTAAATAATATCTGACTTGGCTATATGGTTATGGACCAACTTCAATACATCGTATGAACTAGTTAAGGACTCCGCTTAATATCAATTTCAAAATCTACAGACAATCATCAACTAAGAAACTGAATTATGGTCTCAAAGTGAAGTTGTGGAGTTAGAGAACAAAGTTTCAGAGGTATGATTGCTTCATTACAAATTTATTTCATTGTTCCCTAAAATAGTGTGAAACAGTTCATACTCACACAGGTGAGATCAGATGTAAGAGTACCTCTTCCATTCAGCAGCATATTGTTTTGGAATGATCTCCATTTTCCTATTTTTGTCGTCAAATACAGCATCAAGAGCTTGCTTGGCCATACTGTTGCAGTTTACATACCACTGAGGCTTTATTAGGGGCTCCACAACATCATTGCTTCTTGAACAAATGCCAAGGCGCATCTCATTATTTTTGGCACCTCTATACAGGCCCTAGATGAAAGGAGAATGAATATATCAATAAAGTCATAGTATTTTTTCGTTTAATATTAAAACAAATTTACTCCAGGCAAGCATATGTTGCTTCTAGCAAGTTCCTGAGCGATAAACTGTCTAAGTTATTTTGTTAAAAAAAAAAAAAAAAATGAGTTTTTGATCCCTTAGTTACCAGTGGCAGATCAATACAGCCTATGTAGCAAGAATACCTTTCTCTGTATAGCTTCTGTCACAACCTCACGGGCTTTGAAACGTGGCATCCCTGCAAACTCTGAACCACCATTACTATTTATTTTCCCATCATCAGTAAAGATGTTGATGAAGTCAAGATTATGGCGCTTTCCAACCTCAAAATCATTTGGATCATGGGCTGGAGTAATCTGCAAAGGTTTTGGAGGCACGATTCATAAACATTAGGATCCTAAAAGGACAATTAAAAATTTAAGAAAAAAATTCAAACACTAGCATTCTTAGTCTCAAACGAGAATCCGTACCTTAACAGCACCAGTCCCAAAATTAGGATCAACAAGTATTGCATCGCAAACTATGGGAAGTTTTCTTCCATTGAATGGATGAATGGCAAATTTTCCATGAAGATGACTGTATCTTGGGTCATCAGGATGTATCGCAATTCCAGTATCACCAAGCATTGTTTCCACTCTAGTAGTTGCCACAACAATTTCACCCAATCCTCCTTCCAGAGGGTAAGCAAATGATGTCAAAACACCAAACTCCACCGGGTTTTCATACCCAGGAACCTTTAACTGTGTCCTTTCTTTGATGTCCAAATATTCAACCTACAAATCCCAAGCAACTTCAGAACACAGAATGTACTCCACTGATATGCCTTAAAAAGGTTAACAAGCTATCAACTTACTTCAATGTCAGATATTGCAGTACGCAAGATGCAATCCCAATTCACTAGCCTCAGATCCCTAAAAGAGAAGGTGAAAGAAATTTAATCTCAAAATAGGTATTCATCAAGTAAGGAAATTGTACAGCATAACATGCTGGGAGTATAGTTCATACGGAAAAATGAATGGAGTCTAAATCAGAAACCAGAAAAAAGCAACCAAAAAAAAGCAAAAACAAAAATTGATGAGAGAATGAACTAGAGTCAGTGGCTCAGTGATATTGTCCCAATGGCCCAACCCATGGCATCATCATGTCAAACAGCTCATATCAAGACCTAATCAGCATCCATAAATTGGCTACTAATGATTGCTCCAATCTAAAATCTAAAATCTTAGTTCTTTATTACAATCTAAAATCTTAGTTCTTTATTACAATCTAAAATCTCCCCCATGCTTCATTCAGTTGAAATAGACCATGTTTGAACAACTTCAAAGAATTTGGCCTTCAGAAGTAATGAAAGACCATTATGTCCTATCAAAGACCCCACTGATTAAAGAACTAAGTAGCACAAACATGCAACACAACACTGACACGTCGACACATCAATTTTTCAAATAATGTAGGACACGACACATGTGACACGTTAAAATTATATATTTTTACAAATTTATTATCTCATATATATGAATAATTTATTCAACGATAATGAAAAATATGTAACATAAAACTATCTATATATATCAAAACTCAAACATCAAGATATAGAACGTTGTAATACAATGATGTATTCATCTTATAAATGTTTCAAAGCATATTTAGAGTGCATAAATTGTGTTTTCAAGAATGCATAATGTATTCATCACATACAATGTGTTCAGAGGGTTCAAGAAGTGTTGCCGAAGTGTCTGTAAAGTGTCGATAAAGAGCCCAATATCATGAATTTGATTTTTTAATTAAGACATGTTGAAGAAGTGTTGGACACACATTTAGGAGTGTCCAAAGAGTGTCAGTGTCCAACATGAGTATCGGACACGACATGCTTCCTCCGTAGAAGTGTCTATGTTTCTTAGTTAAAAAATATACAAGATACAACTTTTGGACTCGTTCTTCCAGCAAATCAAAAATAGATTACGCGGCAATGTCATCGTCCATGCTGGCTAATTTCAGATCAGGAAAACAAATTGGGAATGAGATTTGAGAACTTGTCACTAGAAATAAAGAAAAAGCAATTAACAAATGCATGGATTCTAAAGCACAAACTATGTTACCTATAAATAAGATCTTCCTTGTAAAGTCTAACAAAAGCCTCTGTGACAGCCTTGGATCTTTTCTCATCCATTGTGAAGCACTGTTGGAAGAACAAAAAGGATCCCATAAAACAGTTACAGTGGATGCACATGCAATAAGATTGACTGCATTTGGAACAAATTCCAACATGTTATAGTAATTTAAAATTCTTACCTCACGAGACCAATCAAGAGAAGCACCCAGGCATCTTAGCTGTTTCAATATGGTGCCACCGTACTCATTCTTCCAATTCCACACCTTTCACCATACAAAAGTAGACCCCAACAATGGATATTGGTACAAATGCTATCGAACTTTAAACTGTTGATTACCAATGATGTTGAAACAAACTTATTACAACTCAAACTTACTTCAGATACAAATTTCTCACGGCCAACATCATGTCTGGTTAATTTCCTTTCCCGCATGATTTTCTTCTCCACAACCACCTGTGAGGTAGATTAAAATAGCATATTTTGAAGATTATCTGCAATGGTCTGAATCAGCAATATTTGTAGGTATGATATCATGGGCTTGTTTGGTTTGTTTTTGGGAGAGTTGTTTTTGAAAAAAAAATTGGGAAGAGTTTAGAAATTTTTTTGATTTGTTTGGTTGTATATTTTGGGAGAGTTATTTTTTTGGGAGTTTGGGATGATTTGATATTTTGGGAGAATTTGAGTAGATGTGTGTGAGAGAAAAAGTGATTGAGAAGGAGAGAGGAGAGAGAAAAAGTGATTGATTGATGTGTAAGAGAGAGAAAGTGATTTTGAAAATTTTTTGAGAAAAGCTCAAACCAAACAATTTTTTAGAATTTTTTTTCAAAAACTCATCTCCCAAATGCAAACCAAACATACCCTATATTTCTGGCAAACAACCATTGCTACATATATTTGATAACCAGTCAACTGGGTGGGACAGTAACCAGTCACCACACCAAATAATAGGGGCCAAAAACATCAGGAATATATGTAGGGCCCCAATAATAGAATGATGCACATCTTATCAATCTAATGATGCCAATGGTTGTCTCTTGGCATAATAGGGGCCCTGTATATTGGTGACTTGCATACAAGGCCTCTCCACCCCCTTAGGGATATATGGCCACACAAAACATAAGAGATACAAATTGGGTAAAGGAAGATGGTAAAGGGGTAGTCCCCAACCTGTGTCGCTATCCCAGCATGATCCATCCCAGGCACCCACAAGGTATTGTATCCAGACATTCTACGCCAGCGAATAATAGTATCCTGTGTGCATTAAAAATTAACAGCATATTAATATTGCAAAAGCTACCAACCAAATACCTACTAAACCAAACCCAGAAAAGAGGAAGAAGAATAAGACATAGTAACAAAGAGACCTGGATGGCAGAAGTAAGGGCATGACCTATGTGCAGGGCTCCAGTCACATTTGGAGGTGGCAGAACCTGCAGTTATAAAGAAAAAAATGAAATTTGTGAAATTGTTAATTTCTACTACAGAAACTACAATTAAGTGATGGAATTGTTGAATGAACACAAAACAATGAATAAAACAAAACAAGGAGATAATAACAGCTAGAAGGTGCTGGAGAACAAATGGAGAAGAATTCACACAAATAAACCTCCAAAAAGAACACTACCGTCATCATCAACCCAAAAGTCTGAATTAATCACAAAAGACAGAAACAATAAACGACTAGAAACAACATTAAAAGGCTTTATTGCACGAGGTAGAGTCCTGGTTAGTGTTACCAATGCCTAAATCTTAGCATAGAACGCAGTTAAGAATCTACAACTTCCAATTGCAAACGAGAATTAGCCTCCCAGTTACAGCACCTTGACAGATAAAAAATCAAGACATGATTCTTAGCATATAAAGAAACTTGTGACCGAAAGATGAATCTTTTTTCCATAACTCTCATTATCACAGTGTCCATTAAACTCCATTCCGTGGCACTTTGGTTTATTCTAATAAGTAACTGCCAACTACCTTCCACTTAACCATTTCACTTGCCAGAAATGGAATGTACATTACTATGACAACAGCATAAAAATGAAAAAACATCATAAACCACCACAAGCTGAAGGGGAATAGAAAAGGAGGGGGGGGGGGGGGGGGGGGAAAGAAGAAAAAAGAGCACCAAAAGAATAACATAGATTTATGTGCTTGATGTTAAAACTATCAATCAGCGGCATAATGAGTTAAAGAATGAACTCAACCATCCAAAGAAACCTATGATTCAATATATTGTGTAATACGGAGAGCACAAACAAGAAAATGTGATTAGTTAACCCAGCATAAATCAAGTTTTTGGATAATGAAAATAAAAATCAAACGATTCAACACCCATCAGACACTATGAACCAAACTCCAGCCAGTCAAAGTGTCTTGTTGTAGAATGTATATATGAATAGTTCTTACTTCAACTCACTATGATTTCATATTCCTCCTAAAGTTTTGGAACAAACATCTGCATTCTTTTTGGTGAATGCTTGTTGCGGAAGCAGTTTAAGACATAAATCGTATGGCAAAGGTATGAAAAACGTTTAAGACGATGCAACCATTAAAAAAAACACTCATTATACCTCAAATTATAGCAGAACAAACTTGTCAAAGCATTTAGAGGTCTACATGTTCCAATTGATAAAATGCAAACTACTCTAAATTTTTCTTCTTTTTCTCAAAAATTTAAAGCAACATCCTTCCAATCAGTGGAAAGTAAGGAAATCCACAATTCCAAGTTTGGCTCCAGCAATTTAGTTATCATACTTGCACTCCAGAATGATTGACATCTAGCAATTTAGCAACACAGAAACAATATGGTTATTGTTTGAGCATCCAGATTCCAGGATCATATCCATAATCCAATCAAAGAATCATACACAATTTTTACCCAAAAACTTCCACAATCACCTCAATAAAATGAGCAACTAAAACAAGAAAAATGTTTTAAATTCCAGCAACAGCCATCAAATGTCCAGAGGGACACTCACAATCACAAATGGCGGTTTGGAGCTGCAAGAATCTGCCACAAAGAAGCCTGATTTCTCCCACCACGCATACCATCTAAACAAATTATGACATAAAGATTGTATAAGTTACTGAAATATATTTATTTAATGCTAGAAAGGACACAAAATAAATTCCAAACTTACGATTTCTCTACTGCTGTCGGACTGTATTGCTTAGCCATTTTCTGAGAAAGGTGTTTCATCTCACCAAAAGGAGTTTCTGGATCAACAAAATCCTCAGGGTTTTCTTCCCCTGTCTCCCTCTTTAAGTTCTTTCGCTTACTCGTCTTTAAAGTACTAGATGCTTGTTGTGCCTTGAATGCAAACAAACCAAGTGAATCTACCATTGTTAGTGCCATAAATAAGATTACCTAGAAATTGTTTTCATCTTTCATAGGCTTAACATCCACTTTGGAAGGGCAATGACATGGAAATGACGAGGAGATGACTGGTGGGTGGAACCGCCTACTGTGGTGACATTTCCCTTGAGCCATCCCACTCGCGTTCTTATGTTCCGGCTGTTCCTCACATCGGGAGGGAGAACTTTGCCCAGAATGAGTGGATTTAAGAGTAAAATGATCACTAATACAATTGGAAACAAAAATACAAGTGCGCAATGAATAATGATATACATTTACCTTAAGCTTAGCTGCCTCTGCTTTTTGTGCAGCCTTAAGCTTTTTCAATTCTTTCTCTCTGGCCTACAACAATAATGACAGCTTTTACATTAACCCCCCCTCAATCAAAAAAAAATAATAATTTGCGTACAGAACCAAATAACCAAACCAAAAAGCCCAAGAGAACACACATTAACCCAATAGTTGCAACTACAATACATCATAGTTGGAATTTGGAAACACAATATTTGTCAACAGGAAAGCTAACCCAATGGAGATAAATCAATTGTTCAAATGAAATGAAACTCCAAAGGAATTATTATAATTAATAATATCATCTACCTTCAGTATTACAAGAAAAAATAAGGTTTCAGCCTCAGAACTTCATAAGCCTCAAATTTACAAATACAACTGTAATGCAGATACATGCATTCTCTCCCTTATAGCCAGGAGTAACTAAATATGGAGCAAAATAAATTGTGTGGTAAAATCAGCTCTATAGTTCAGACGCTCATCATGCATGAGAGTCCGAATAAGTGTCTAGGTGTTTGAACTCTAATGCACGAAAAATGATAAATAAATAACATAATTTCGTATTTGTCATCATGCAAGAAGGTCTGAATAAGTATCCGAGTGTTCGAACCCTAATGCATGAGAAATTGTAAATAAACACTATAATTACATATCTACCATTATGCAAGAGAGTCCGAATAAGTGTCTGAGTATTCAAACCCTGATACATGAGAAATGATAAGTAAACACCATAATTACATATCTGCCATCATGCAAGAAGTTCGAATAAGTGTCCGAGTATTCAAACCCTAATACATAAGAAATGATAAATAAACACCATAATTACATATCTGTCATCATAAAATAAACTAACAATGTTGATCAAACTTTCGCTAGACACTATGCCAGTTGCAAAATTCAGCTTACCCTGGGATCAGCTTAATTAACCTCACTGAGTTACAAGCCAACCAATACTTAACTAGGTCGCTTAACATTTTGTAAGCTAATATTTTCTCTCTCTTTAGCATGTTGAACTTTCAAAATTAGATAAACCATAATGAATAATAAAAATTACTGTCATCAACCATACAAAATTAAAATGAAAATGAAAAAAATAAAAATAAAAAATCGAAAATCTAATAGCAAGCATTACCAAATGGTTGTACTTTCACATGCCCACGTCACAATTATGGGCATCTTCAGATGTTTTGTAGGGCACTCGTAACATTGTTAAGGATCCTTGTTTTTGTCAGGTTCTATAGTGCACAGACCGTGCACCAGTTTCAAAAATCCTTCCTATTCTTACTCCTTGTTTTTCATCAAATTTGAGTGAAATTTTAGTTAAAAGCTTGATTTGGTATGAAACACTCCAATCCTTGCTATTTTTTTCATCAAATCTTTATGAAAATTTACAAACTTATCCTAAAAACCCATTTTAACCATTTTTTATGGAATAAAATTATTTCCAATCCTCATGCTTTTTAAAATTTCATCAAATTTAAGGACCAATTACAATTCAGTGGCTGAAAACTGTTGAAAGCTCGTACCTTTTCTTCTTTCTTCTTCTTCTTTTCAGGATCTTCGACCTGGGGTTTTGCCTCTGTTTCCACCTGCGAATTCAAACAGCTTATAAGATCAATTTGCAGAGTGTTAAAGCTTTCAAAAACCCTGAGTTGGCAAGCGAATTGAATCAATCACAATAAGAATGTATCAAAGATGGATATGAAACTCAATTAAAATGTATTCTTTTTAAAACCTTGTGATCTCTTTGTGGATGTGTTAATTCTAAAACACTCTATTCAATTTGGAAATGATGTTAATAGAGAATTATACTCACCATTGTCGTTGCTTTCGAATCGAGAATCACTACTGAAATCAATGGCGCTCTCTCTCTCTCTCTGGGTTGGAAGGATAACGGCTCGTGTAAAACCCTAATGAGGGTTGGCTTTGGCTGGGCTGAAGTTGTGCTTACGCGCAACGCAAGAGGGGCTGCTATTCATATAGACGATGTTGTGAGGACCTGTTTGGGAATGTTTGAACTTTCATCAGTGTTTTCAATTTTCTTAATTTAGTTTTTTAAAAATTGATTTTTTTATTTTTAGTAAAGATTTTTAAAATTTTAAGTATTTGTTTTGTTTTTTTAGATATATCTTACTTAGATGTATTTAAAATGTAAAATATTTATAAAAAATATTTTAAAAAATTAATAAATACATAAAAATATAAATCATTTACTGAATTTTTATATTTTTTTATATTTCTGATATTTAATAAATTTTTAAAAGATTTTTGTTTGTGAAAATTATATTTTTTAAGTGTATTTATATTAAGTGTGTCTAAAAATGACAAAAATTACTTAAAATATAAAAAAAAATCAATAAAAAAATACGAAAAATAAGAAAATAAAATTTTCTGAAAAATATTTTTAGAAAACTCAAACCAATCAAAGTACGGAATCAAGCAAGTTTTAAGAACCCCTCCAAAAAAAAACAGCTTTGGTAATAAAATAAAATTTTTAATTTTATCAATTTGAAGTATAATTTTTTGATTTACTTTTAATGTAAATTATTCATCTATTTTTGTTAAATAAAATCATAACAACATTAAACCATATATACTAAGATGACAATAAAAAAATATATATATATCAAATACAAATTGAATCTGCAATTGTCGAAGGATCTGTACTTAAATTGTTAATAAAAAAAAAAAAAAAAAGGTATTGTAAGAATAAAAATTAGAGCGGTGCTATCTCCCTATTTTGACTTCTAAAGAGGTGAAAAAGAGAGATGAGGATAAGAGTATGGATCGTCTTTTCACGTGATTTATTTCATGCCCATAGAAACGGATTGGGAGTGGAAGTGCTCAATTATAACTTCTAAACATTTTTCTAAAGTTATATGACAAAATAAAGTCTAGTTTGGCAACATTATATTTTAGTCAAAAAATCAATTTTTATTTTTATGTTTTATATCTCTTTTGATAAAAAGTCAAAAAATTATTAAAATAATCAATTTTAAAAGTAAATGTTTTGTTTTATTTTATTTATTTGTTTTGATTCATATATGATATATTACATTTATGATAATATAAATTAAATACAACACATTAATATAAAGAACTCTCAAAGTGAAAGAAAAATTATAATAAGGGGTGGTTTGGGATAATATAAATAAGTGCATTTTTTGACTTTTTATGAAATATGAATTGAATTTGAAGTGATATGTTAGAGAGGTGATGTGACTTAAATAAGATGATGTGACCAATTCAGCTCTTTGCATTATTTAATAAAATAAATGGCAAAATTTATTTTACTTTCTCAAGACTTTAAACCATGACACTTTACTCTTTATGATTCAAAAAAAAAATATATATATATATATATATATAAATGATTGATAACTCGAGTTTGAGTTTGCCTGAAAGTCCAAATTTGCATTTATTAGTCAACCGCCTGGATGACCGGTGTAACACTTGTCTATCGTGTTTGTCACCATTGTCGACCGCAACTACCACATTATTACCGAACGACTGACCGGACGACCAACAAGTTAAAACTTAGATTCAATAATTCAATACATTTTTTGTATTTTTATTTTATGTATTTATTAATTTTTTAAAATATTTTTTCACAAAATTTTTACTTTTTAGATACATCTAAGTAAGGTACATCTAAAAAAGTAAAAAAAATGTTTAAAATTTTAAAAATATTTACTAAAAGCAAAAAAAATATGAAAATTAAAAAAAATCAATTTTCAAAAAACTTAATCCAAAAAATTCAAACCAAACACACTGAATAGTAGTGCAAAAAACATCCATGCAGGCCTGAAGGAGGGTGGGTTGGAAAGGGGCCTGGCCTACTAAGTTCATGGAATTTTCATATCCCTCCAAACTTCTTATATTTTTACTTTTACTTGAAATGTGGGTTGACTTTTTGATTTTTTTAGTTATTTTAGTTTGGGGCTAAATTGTTAATATATAGTCACAAAAAAAGGTATTGTAAGAATAAAAATTAGTGCGGTGCTATCTCCCTATTTTGACTTCTAAAGACGTGAAAAAAGAGAGATAAGGATAAAAGTATGGGTCCTCCTTTCACATGGTTTATTTCATGTCCATAGAAACGGATTGGGAGTGGAAGTGCTCAATTATAACTCTCAAACATTTTTCTAAAGTTATATGACAAAATAAGGTCTAATTTGGTAATATTATATTTTATTTAAAAAGTCAATTTTTATTTTTGTGTTTTATATCTTTTTTGGTAAAAAATCAAAAAATTATTAAAATGATCAATTTTAAAAGTAAATGTTTTGTTTTATTTTATTTATTTGTTTTGATTCATATATGATAAATTACATTTATGATAATATAAATTAAATACAACACATTAATATAAAGAACTCTCAAAGTGAAAGAAAAATTATAATAAGGGGTGGTTTGGGATGATTTAAAGAAGTGTATTTTTTGACTTTTTATGAAATATGAGTTGGGTTTAAAGTGATATGTTAAAGAGGTGATGTGACTTAAATAAGATGATGTGACCAATTCAGCTCTTTGCATTATTTAATAAAATAAATGGCAAAATTTATTTTACTTTCTCAAGACTTTAAACCATGACACTTTACTCTTTATGATTCAAAAAAAAAATATATATATATATATATATATAAATGATTGATAACTCGAGTTTGAGTTTGCCTGAAAGTCCAAATTTGCATTTATTAGTCAACCGCCTGGATGACCGGTGTAACACTTGTCTATCGTGTTTGTCACCATTGTCGACCGCAACTACCACATTATTACCGAACGACTGACCGGACGACCAACAAGTTAAAACTTAGATTCAATAATTCAATACATTTTTTGTATTTTTATTTTATGTATTTATTAATTTTTTAAAATATTTTTTCACAAAATTTTTACTTTTTAGATACATCTAAGTAAGGTACATCTAAAAAAGTAAAAAAAATGTTTAAAATTTTAAAAATATTTACTAAAAGCAAAAAAAATATGAAAATTAAAAAAAATCAATTTTCAAAAAACTTAATCCAAAAAATTCAAACCAAACACACTGAATAGTAGTGCAAAAAACATCCATGCAGGCCTGAAGGAGGGTGGGTTGGAAAGGGGCCTGGCCTACTAAGTTCATGGAATTTTCATATCCCTCCAAACTTCTTATATTTTTACTTTTACTTGAAATGTGGGTTGACTTTTTGATTTTTTTAGTTATTTTAGTTTGGGGCTAAAAAGTCTCGTTTGAGATAAGTTTTTTGGCTTTTTTGACTTTTATAAGAAAAAAAATGAAATGATTATGGTTTGGATGTAATATTTTATCTTATTAGATTAAAAAGTCTATTTATCTTTTTGTGAATAAAATAGTCAAAAAATCAAAAAGTTTGGCATGCCAATCGAAGGCATATTATATTTTGTAAGATTCTTATGAGTTTTTGTACTGTTAGATACAAATCATTTCAGTTTTGTTATGAAATATGGAACATAAGAAAAAATTTAGTTACAAATCATTATTGTTATGTAATGAACTATCATGATTATGTTATGAATATTAAAATAGAGCGAATTACATTAACGGTTCTTGTAGTTTAGAACTTTTGTTACTTCAGTTCCTGACTTTTCAATTATGATATATTTGACTATAAATTTTGAATCTTATTCTATATAAGGACAATCATATATATTTTCATTGTAAACGGTCCATTTTAAGGATAAAGTCATCATACAACTTATTTTATATTTGTTAACTTGTATGTTATTTAAAATGTAATGGTCTTTTTTTAATGAATAATGTTATAACTTTATTGGTTATAAAGTTGTGTTTGGTTTGGTTTTCAAAAAAAAAATTCTAAGAAATTAAAAATTAAATTGGTGAAAAAAAATTAAAACGTCATTTTTATATTATTTTATTTTTTGAGAGGGTAAAAATAATTTCTCAGAATAAATTTTTTTCAATATTTATTTCGTTGGTTTTATTTTTTCAAGAGTCAAATATGGCGATAATTTTGATGTCATTATTAAATCAATCCATTAAATCAAAAAGTCAAAAACTAAAAATATTTCATATATTAAACATATCAATTACACATTAAAAGTCTAACAACCATTCATTATATGATAAACCATTTAATAACAAATACAACCATCTATTGCATGATAACTATCCAAAAACAAAAACAAAAACAAAAAAAAATATAAAAGATATTTTCATATAATTTTATCTTTGATGGGTGGAAACAATTTTTAAAAATTTAAAAATAATCTTTTGACATTTATTTTTATCAAATTAGTTTATATTTTATCAAATTGATAACTTTGCCCTTGAAATGGAGTAATGATATCTTCAATTGTCATTATTTAGAACGATATTAAAAATTTAAAATTAAATGTATCATAATTAAAAGGTCAAGGATTAAAGTGATACTTCAAACTTAAGAACCGTTAATGTAATTCATCCATTAAAATATTACGAACTGTTGTTGTGATAAAAATTATTAACTATTGTGATTTTGCTACGAATTATTATGGTATAATTTTGAAAGGTTATAGGTAGTGGCAGAGACAATAAAGGACCAGAGGCACGTGTGGCAGAGACAATGAAGGACCCAGAGGCACGTGATCCCCTCTTTTTTTTTTAAATTGTGCTATTACCCATAAATATTCAGAGTATTTCAAATATATCATTTGTAAAATTATATTAATGTCCCTCCTAAATTATTTTAAAGTACCTAATATTTTTATTTTTTCAAAAATAACCTCTATATGATGTTTTAAGAAAAGAAAAAAGATATACAAATAGAATGATTGTGCAAAAATTTTATACAAAATGAGTTGGCATCTCGTGGTTTCTTCACTTTTAATCAAAACATCTGTTATTGTCTTTGTAATTTCACAAATGACATTGACACATCATCCAAAAGAATTTGTTTATATGAATTTTATATTTACAAATCACTTTTCTTAAAAAAAATGTGAAAATGTGCTTTACTCTT